TGACCAAATACTTATTTTACACCATTATTTGCAAAAAATTCTTTAAAAGTCAGACAAAATGATTTTCTCAAAAAAATTTTTTTTACATTTTGTCTCTCATAGTTGAGGTCTACCTATGATGTCAATTACAGGCCTCTCTCATCTTTTTAAGTGGGAGAACTTGCACAATTGGTGACTGACTAAATACTTATTTTCCCCACTGTACATTTTAAAAAGAAGCTGTCTGCTATTGGTCATTTCGTACCCCCCACCTCCAACTTTTTACTTGCCTCAACCCATTTCAGACTCCCTTTTGCACCCACCACAATGTAGATAATTCAATCTACCATATTTAAAGTTTCACCACTATAATTATCATCTGCATGGTTAGATTTATATTTCATGTTGGAGTTCTGTATGTTTTTCTAAGAAACTCCAGATTTCAAGACAGGTGACATATAAAATGCAGTTCTTTTATAATCATAAATCACAGTTTAACTTTTTCGAACAACAGCCGATAACACAAGCAGGTTAGGTTGTGCTTTCTCTGTATTCAATACAAGTAGTCCACGTCAGTGCACCTGCACTGTCAAGAGTTGGTGCCTGGTGTGTGTATTTTACACACCAAGACTGAGCCCTATGTGCACACAATGGGGCAGGTAATTGTTGACACAGTGTGTGCTGATCGGTGAAAAAGTGTTGCACACGCTTTCAGGAGAGAACGCTTGTGTATTTGTGTGTGCGTTCGTGCCGTTTCAGGTGCGCAGGGTCTCCGCTGTCGGAGCTGGCCAGAGATGACGTGTCACAGGACTGAGCGTCCATGTTGTCTGTGTTTAGTATGCATGTGTCCTCCAAAACAAATGGATCCTCCTCCTCCTCCACCTGTAACACACAGGGTAACAATGAAACGTCACGTCAGCTGAAACTAAATGAGCGAACAGGACTTCACACAAAAATTGCTCATTTTCACACTACGATCATTTTATTGTAGTTTTTGTTCTGTTTCTTATTTTCAGAGGAAGCATAGCTTGTTTTCTTGAGATTAGATGTTCGATGATTTCTAATTTAAATATTTTTGCTGTAGCTAGTAACTGTAGACGACACTCAACACCCAGTTTAGTGCTTCATTATCATTAAATGACATTCCTGGTGGGCCATGTTGTCATCACTCATTAGGTTATTTAAGGTCACGGGAGGTTTGTTTCATGAATGAGGTGACCTCCTTTCTTCTAACAGGATGTAAATTCAATAAAGTTGAACTGTAACTTAGAAAATTCCACTTATAGAGTTCAACCAGGGAGAGAATCAGAAGGCTGTGGGAACGTAAGTAAAACACCAGATGTCTCCTTCACAACAAACCGAGTTTTCTTAATTACAAAAGATAAGATAAGACATTAAGACAAAAATCTAATCTACACTGAACAGAAAACAGGTCAAGCTGCTCTCTCTGTTTGGAATCAGCTGGAAAATCACAAATTTGAGTAAATTTTAAACTAAATAGAAGCAGATAAGTTTACTGGTAAGTGTCATAGTGAACCACTCTGCACATTATTGAATATTCTGCAAACAAACAAAATTAATCACTTGTGTCAAAGTTCTGAGCAGGAAGAGAATTGTTTCAATCAGAAGAGGAAAATACAAAAACACAGAGAAATGTATTTAAGCAGCTTTTTCAGCTTTAAGTACATTTGAAAAACTGTACTTGACCTGACTTAGGATGCTCTCCAGTGTGGGAGGTGTATCCACTTGGGGAATGTCAAACTCCTTATCATCAATCTAAAAACAGAAGTTGAACAAAAATACACTCTATTAGAACACATTTTTGTGTGCACATTTTTATAAAACAGCAACGTATGAACGTCAATGAAATGTTGACGTTTTTTTTTTGTTCATTCTTTCTATTTATCTATAAATTAAATACAAATATATTAAATATTTTTGCTTTAATGGATATTCTAATAAACATTTGTACACTAATGAGTTGTAGTGCTTTATATGTTTAAACAATCCAATTTCAGCAGTTCAATGACTTTCTTAGCAAATCAAAGACAGATTGAAACAAACAGAGCTCGATCTACATTCAAAAATATGGTGTTGATAAAACTGACACAATTCATWTGGTTTTTCAGCAAGATTTTTTTTCACTTGCAGAGTGTTTTAGGAGCATATTTACCATGTTGACATCGTAATGTAACCGTGACATTTATTGTTTTGCACCATAAGGTTTTCAATCGGGCTGTTAAATCACACTGGAGGCTTTAGCATCGCTGTTCTACACTGACCACCACAATCACGGTGTGCAGCTAGAGCTATTGGGTAAATATTTATCTCTCTAGACAGAACAAAATATAATTCTTAAATTCTCTCACCGACTCTACTTCTATCAGATTGAGCTGTGAAGAAGCTGATAAAAGGCTCCTAGTGTCCGGAGACTGCGACATATTTATGTTTACACTACAGAGGGATTCTATCTACTTCCGCTTTTCCTGCTGCTTTTTCTTCTTCGTGGGTTGCTGACGTTTAGCAAAACAGTTCACGATACAAATACTTCCATCTAGTGGAAAAAAACATGAATAGCAAGAAATTACTCAGAGGAAAAAATATCAGTTTATTTTTTATTTTTTATTAAAAAGCGGAATCCTTTGTAAGATTTAAAATGCGATGTGTTTGTATTTCTTTAATTACTACAATAAAGTTCAATTTCAAAAAGAAAGTTTATAGTTTTTTTTAATTGGTTGCAGTTAAAAGTTTTCACAGAGGTGTGAAACTGTTTGGTTGTGAACTTTTTGGACATAGATTTAGCCAAAGATCACACTTAAACACACAAACGAGGGTCCACACAGGACAAAAAACATTTGCCTGTGATGTTTGTGTAAAAAGATTTAGCCGTAAATCAAATTTAAACAGACACATGAAGATCCACACCAGAAACAAAGGTGTGGTTTCCAATGACTCCTAGAACACAGATGAGAAGTCAAACAGAAGGAGGAACAGTTCAGATGTGAACATTAAGAAATGTCCTGAAGACATTAGAGAGTTCACAAACACATCTGAATCTTAAAGGTTTCAGGGTTTGTTGGTAACAATATGAGTTCTGCACAAGTGTTATTAAAAATCACAGTAGTTTTACTTGCAGTGATATGTACTTGTATAACTTTAGGATTTTTCAAATAGTTTTTTTTTCCTGACCCCATTTGTAAAAACACACAACAGACCTCTAGTTTTACAGGTCTTGGTTGAATGGACACAAACATTGTTGTTGCCAAACATTTAAAGTTGCAAAGATTAAAAACATTTACATTCCTTTTGTTTTGATATTTGAATAATTTTCTAAATAAAAGATTTGAAGGTTTTAGTGTTGTTGTCAGTGTTCACAGAACGCAATTTAGTTCTTTTTGTTCCGGTTCAAATGTACTTTTTTATGTAAGACTATTTTGTTTTGACACATCAGTTGTTGCAGAAATGAACTCAGTCAGAAAAAAGTCATCTTTTAGGAATAAATTTACATAAACATGCAGATGAAACTCTATATGAACAAAGATGATTCAGCACACTGATAATGTTCTGTTGTACTGTTTTAAACTTGTTACTCTGAGAGCGTGTCTTTTTTTACTTGTTCGAGAATCATTTTTCAAAATCTTTCTGTTTTTCTGTTGCTCTTGTATGAACAGATTGTTTTAATTCAAAATAAATATAACCTTGAAGGAATCTCAGATATTTTCTTATTTGTTGTTGTTGTGCTCTGACACACGAGTCACTTCATTTAGCCTCGTAAATTTACCAAGGTATCAAACTTGGACCACCAATCATTTCTATGTAATACTTAATTCATATGNTGCTGCAGTGATGTTCCTAATATCACTTAGGTGGAGGCTAAGATGATTGGGTCTGTGCTGACAGGAGAACAGAGACAGAACGTTGGAGCGAGGAGAGTCACAGTCCAGCAAATCAGGTTAAAAAACAGAAAATCCACAATAAAAGTCTAATTATTTGACTTTAAAATAAGAAGACAATACAAAAAAATTAGTTAAAGTTGATTCTCTGTTGCTATTTCCACACCAAAATCAAAGATCACTGGAAAATTCAGACTTCTTGGCTTAAACGTTGGCCAGCTGTCATGAGAAGAACGCGCTTAAAAACTGTGACAAGATCTACAAAAATATTTCACATTTAAAATATTACCTTTGAGGATAAAGAAGGCCAGATTTGTGTTTGTGTTTGACACGTGTTTTAGAGTCTCAAGCTTTTGTTTGATGTGTTTTTCTTTGCCTTTAACTTTTTAGGATTGATAGAATCACATAAGATCAACWTGAARTGTGGACGTTTAGAATGTTTCGGTGGGAATAAAAATATTCTCCAGATCTCTTTGTTGAAAAACAACAGTGTCACAGTCTGTGTTTGTTTTCTTGGTTTTTCTAGTGTTTCAGTATTGCCCTGCCCATGCTCACCTGTTTCCTCTTGTGTCTCCTCCAGGTGTTCCTCATTTGTCCTCATTAGTTTCCCTTTATATTTAGTGTCTTGCCTTCAGTCTGTCTGATCATTGAGCTGTTTCCAGCCAGTGTGGTGTCCTTTGTGTTCCTTGTGCCTCTGTGAGTTCTGCTGCCTTGACAGCTCCTTTAAATAAACCTTTTTTTTTACATTTTTGGATTTTGCCTGCGCCCTGGGTCATTCTGCCTAACACTTCACTTAGAGCCTTTTACGTTTGGTAATGTTGTGATTTGAATCACTCTATTTATTTTAATTATTTTCATTTACTAAATTAACCAAATTTCTGGTTGCTACCTATTAGTTAAATGAATGTTTCATCACCTGGTGGTGCAAAGGTGTAAAGATGAGTCACCTTATCATCCAGTTCTTTGTAGAGCTTGGCCATCTCTGCCTCAAACTTCTCCATCTCTGCGTCTGTGAGTTTGACTCCAGGCATGGTGCTGAGGTATTTTTTATTTTTTATTTTATTTTTTGTGGGGTGGGGTATCCATGTTGAGGGTGCTGTCCAGAGCCAGCACTTCAGCTGCTCCACTGGTGCACTCTCTCCTGCAGGGGGCAGCAGAGGACCAGTGTGAGCTGAGGCCTCTAGCTTTTCTGCACTTTTAGCTGAAAATGTTCAGGTGAAAATTCAAGATTTCTCACAGCCTGCATACATGAGGTGTATATACTTCATGTAGGTGGCTGTATTATTTTCTAGTTGGCCAACTTTTAAAACAATGCATTTAGCTGTTAAATAAATAGCCATTATCATGTGTGGACTAGGGCCAAACTGTGCTCAGTAGCT